AAAATTTCAATTCTTTTTTTTTTTTAATAAAAACTTTTTGACGTGAGCCAATTTACAAATAAGGGTAATACAATAGTTTATCAAAAAATTTATAAAAAAAAATATATAATTTTAAACTCATATTTTGAATGAGTTATTAAAATTATTTAAACTTTTTATATTTATATAAATATTCATATTCTTTTATTTAATTGAGTAATGTTTGAATATGTATGTATGAAAGTATAATTGGAAATTGAGTGAAAAAACACCTTTTTCCGATTTTTTCGACATTTTCCATATTATTGTTGTTATATTCATAAACTTAGACGATTATTTTAGTACTTCTTCCAGATTTTTTTTTTATTGATTTCATTTTTATATCAACTTTTGACCGCTTACGGTATTTAGCGCAAGGTGACCACTAATAATGAAAAACAAATGAAAAATGAAAACCACTAATTGAAAGGATATGAACTAAATGAGGCTTATATGTATGTATATATGTATAAAAGCATACTTATAAGGAATAAGTAAAAACATAGCGCAAAACGACCTTTCACAGCATACTCGACACAACGTGAAAACTATTTGTTCATAACATGTTTGCAAGCGGAAAAAGTGGCACACGCTGAGGGCACAAGCAAATGAAATGACCTGTAACCTCAAAAAAAAAAAAAGTTATAATAAAAAAAATAAAAAAAAAAATAAAATATAAAGAAATAGATTACAAATAAAGCTAGCTCAAAAAACAAGAGGCAAAAACTGGTGCACGAATGCCGTTAGTTTAAGCACCCACACAGGAGAGAAATTAGAGATAAAAGAAAACATTCCACACATGCCCGCTTTCTGTGTGAGCTAAATAAAATAAGTCAGTGTACACCCGTATACATGTACATATGTATGTACATATTATATATTATAGACACTTAGCAACAGGCTAGAAGCCAATAACAAAGCATATTATATTGCCAATACAATAAATGAATTTTGATGAATGAACTAATTTATAGCGTGCAAGAAAGCATACTTAATTACAAAAAGCAATTTGGGGCACAGACAAATTAATTTTAATTATTTTCATTTTATTTTATAATGTATAAATTGAATTATTGAATATTATTGTAATTTATTTATTATTATTTTTGTATTTAATTTTCTTATTAACTTTCATTTTATTAACTTAGATATATTTATTTATTTAAATTTTATTTATTTTCTAATTTAATTTTATTATATTTTTTTAATTTTTTTAATTATTATTTTTCAATTTATTTATTTAATATTTTTTTTTTTTTTTTTTTTTCATTTTTTTTAATTTTTAAATTATTATTTTTTTTTTTTTTTAATCATTATTTTTTAATTTTTTTTAATTATTATTTTTCAATTTTTTTAATCATTATTTTTTAATTTTTTAATTATTATTTTTTTTTCAATTTTTTTTTTCATTATTTTTAATTTTTTTAATTATTATCTTTCAATTTTTTTAATTATTATCTTTCAATTTTATTAATCATTATTTTTTAATTTTTTTAATTAATATTTTTTTATTAATATTTTTAAATTTTTTTATTATCATTTTTTTTAATTTTTTTATTATCATTTTTTTAATTTTTTTATTATCATTTTTTTAAATTTTTTTATTATCATTTTTTTAAATTTTTTAATTGTTATTTTTTTTTTTTTTTTTTTTTTATTTTTTTTTTTTTTTAATTATCTTTTTTCAATTTTTTTAATCACTATTTTTTAATTTTTTTTAATTATTTTTTTTTTAATCATTATTTTCTAATTTTTTTTGTTTTTTTTTTTTATAATTTTTTTTTTTTTTAGTTAATATTATTTTTTTTTTTTTTGGTTTTATTTATATTATTATACTTTAATTTGATTTCTTAATTTTTGAATTTTTTAGCATTTTATTTCATTTGATTTTATTATTTTTTTTTTGATTTATTTATTATAATTTCATGTGATTTTGTTATTTGACTGATTCTGCGAGTCAATTATTTTAATTCAACAATAATTAAATATTTTATTTCATTTTATTAATTTTCTATTATTTTAATTCATTTTAATTATTTTGTTTTATTTATTTTTTACTATTTTTTTAATTTTATCTATTAATTTTTTATTTTTATTTATTATTTTATTTAATTTTCTATTATTTTTTGAAATTTATTTTATATTTTATTTTGTTTTATTTAATTTAATTTAATTTTTTCCAATCCGTTTGAAATAATAAAATAACAAATTTAATAAGCCACAAATTATCGACTGTTTCACTAAAATTATCATCGTCTTGCTGACATTTAAAGGTAGCCTTGACGCTGGAATGTCCTCCAAAGAAATTGTATAAAAAGATGATACAGCAATTTGAATCGAAAAACAATGATAATCGCTGCGCCACAGGCAAGCAGCAACAATACAAAAAAAAAAGAGAAGAAGGCAATAATAACAAAGTAAAAGGGCGTTTAAAATAACCCAAGCAAGAAGAAAGCAATATGGCAATGGACATTAAAATATTTAATCAGTAGCAACAAGCAGAGCAACAGACAAAATATATATTGAAAGAAGAATAGCAAACAGAGGCGCTGCTGGAGTCACTGCTATGGAATTCAATGAAAGTCAAATTAACCCAATTAAGAAAATATGTATGGAAGAGAGGAAAAATAGCTGCTTTTTCGTGAAGGCGAAATAATAATACTATGTAGACCAAGTGAGGCAAAAAAAAGTTCTTGAAAAAAAAAAAATTTATTATAAAATTATATAAAAAAAAACACAGAAAAAACTTAGAAAAGCAACAACTATAGAACGAACGGGAGAGAAAATCTTAAACGCAATGACTGCAGGGTTCTAAGCGCCAAGAAGACGCTCAGAAGACCATCAGTTTTTTTTTTTTATTAATTTTGTTATAGATACATACAAGCCAACTAAGGTATCCTAGTTGTTCGTAACCCTGGAATGCCTCTGTAGCCTACACCTACAATACCGCCAGTCAGCAAGCAACACACGCTCTCTCTGTTAGCCGAAGTGTGTCAATCAATATGGAAATTTCGCTATTGCACACAAGTAAAATTAATTTGTTTTTGTTTTGGTTTTTTTGCTTTTGTTGTGAAATGATGATATAAAAAAAAGGAAAGCAAAAACGAAAACTTAGAAAAAATATTCTAAGAGCTTAGGAAAACCAAAAATAGGTCTCACTCAGTGATTTTGATCTCACGTTCTTGTTGTGACATGTGTGTAGGTAAATGTGAATTGCATAGTGGGAAGAGAAGTTGGAAAAAGTTGAAAGAATAAATAAATAAAATATAAAAAAATTAATAGAAATATGTGTAAATAAAATAAATAAATAAATAAAAAATAAGAAATTACTAAATAAAAAATTAATCAATGAATAAATAATCTATAATAAAAAAATTTAAAATATTAACAAAAAAAAAACTAAATTAATTAAATAGTAATACATAAAAAAAAACAAAACAAAAAAAAAAAAATAAAATAAAAAATTTTTAAAAGTTAAAGAAAATATTTGATAAATAAAAAATTAATATTTATAAAAAATAAATAAAAATTAAAATAATAATGCATAAAAAACAAATAAAATAAAAAAATTAAAGAAAATATTTGAAAAATAAAAAATTAATATAAAAAAAATAAATAAAAAAAAGCCTGAAAGATAAAATAAATAAAATAATAAGATATAAAAAATAAGTAATTAAAAACTAAATAAAAGTTAAAATTTTAATGCGTAAAAAATAAAAAAACATACAAAATAAAAAAACTAAAAATTAAATAAAATATTTGACAAATAAATAAATTCATATATAAAAACTATATGCATAGAATCTGAAAAAAAAAATTAATAAATAAAAAAATTAAGATAACAATAATAAATAAATAAAAAAAAACTAAAAAAAAGTTCTATTAATAACAAATTATTATACAAAAAACAAAGATATAAAAATTAATAAATAAAAAATTTAACAAGAGAAAATTAAATGAAGTAAAAATTTATTATGAAAAATAAATAAATAATGTAAATAAAATAAGTAAATTAATTAAAATTAAATGAAATATAAATATATAATAAATAAAAAATTAAAAATTATTATAAAATTAAGGAATAAAAAATAAAAAGAAAAAAATTAGTAAAATAAATATAAATAAATAAATAAATTGATAAATAAGATTTAATGAAATACTGTGATTGTAGAGCATAGAGTTTCAATATGTAAGGTATTTCGATTTTTTTTTTATAAATTTTATGTATATTTTATAAATATTTTTATAATACTTAATTTTTTCATTTTAAAATTATTATTACTTAATACTTTAATAAAATGGTCCAAAAATCGGAAAAAAATTATATTTAATGACCTTTTACTTTCTTTCATTTCTTTAAATATTTAAAAAAATTTTTTTTTTCAGGATGAAGATTTTAAAACAATTAATTTTCTATGTAAAAAAATCTATTAACGCAAATATTTTTTTATCTTCATAGTAAATTACACTTTTGGTGGTTGTTCACGAAAAAAATACAAAAAAATTTTTTCCAATTTTAAAAACATTTTTTGAAATATTTACTGTATTCCTCAAGAAAAGCCCACTGTGCATTTATAAGGGCAACAAACAAAGCATTTTGGAGCGGCCTCGAATAAATTTAGGGCATGCGATGAACTTTCAGCACAAGCGAGATATGGCTAAGAAGAATAAAGAATGAGGAGATAAACGGCCACAGCGACGGGGAAGAGAATGTGTAACGGAGTCTACTACCAGTTATACTAATACATTAGCAGAATGTGGTATAAATTTGTTGTACGCACACAAAACGGAATGTTGCATTTGACACCTTTATTTTAATAATTTTTGATTTTTTTTTATTAAAATTTGCTTTTTCCTTCTTTTTTTCATTTTTTTCTACACAAAAAACACATGATATAAATGTATATATGTACATATCAGCTTTATCACTAACTTAGCTTTAACAGTTATATTGCATTTGGATTTTTTTCTTTTTAGTTTACCTTTTATTATCACAGAAATGTGCGGCAGCAGCGACGGCGTTGGCGGTGGCGGCGTTACAGAATTCTTTAGAATTTGGACATTTAACTAATAATACTAGGCACAGAGGAGATTGTTGTTGTTGTTGTTGGTGATGATGATTATGCTGCGAATGTTGTTGCAATTGATTGTTATTGCTATTGTTGCAATTACTAGCGCTGCTACTGCTTTGTTGTTGTTGGTGCTGATTCGATTGCAGCAAGTGTTGTTGTAAATGTTGATTGCTTTGTTGTTGTTGTTGTTGCTGCAGGTGGTGTTGCGAATGCTGCTGGGTCGTGTGACGCGAATGTTGAGGAATCTGCTGCTGCTGTTGTTGTTGTTGAATTCGGTGGTTATTGATTGTATTATTATTATTATTGTTGTTGTTGTTGTTGCTGCTGCTATTATTGTTATGATTATTATTTGTCACTTGCTGATTGTACTGCTGTAAGTAGTTATGATGATGTTGTTGTTGTTGTTGCTGATTCAAATGCCGCCTTATCGATTGATTTATACGATTTGTCATCGAATTGGTAAGCGCGGAATGCTGATGATGATGGCTATGATGGTTGTGGTGGCTGTGATGCGGCAAACGTTGGTGGTGGTGGTTATTGTTGTTATTGTTGTTATTGTTAGAAGCCGATGAGCCAGCAAGGGATGCGCTTGATGAGGCTGCTGCCGCTGATGTTGTACTGCTACTACTCGGAGCGGTGAGTTGCTGTTGAAGGTGGCTGTGGTTGTGAGTGTGGTTATTGGTGGTGCTGTTGGTGTTGTTGTTATTGTTGTGGTTGCTGCTCCCAAATAGGCGACTGGCAATTATACTGTTGTTGAGATGTGAGTTGTTGCTACTGCTGCTACCGCTACTACTACCACCACTATTGTTGTTCGCAACGTTCCCGTAAATACTGGCTAACAATGAAGAAGAAGAAGAAGACGAAGAAGAGTGTGGTGTATTGTTAACGGCGGCAAAGTTGGAATTTGAGATCGCAGATGACAATGGCGGCGTCGGTGGGGAGGATGTGATAGAATTACTGCTGTGGTTGTTGTTGTTGTTGTTGTTGCTGCTGTTGTTGTTATTGCTATTACTGTTGGACGCCAATGTCGAGGAACTATGTGAACGCTTTAAAATTCTGTGCAAATTGTTGCTGAACGCTTCCTGGAGAATGTTGCTCGGCGAGGCCAAGTGGCGTTGCAATGTTGTTGTGCTACTTCGCAGGCTGCTGCTGTTGCTGCTACTGCTACTGCTACAACTATTACGATTGTTATTATTCCCACTGTTGGCGTTCACGCTCGCACTACCATTGCCAACGCCACTTGATGATGCTCCACTTTCGAAATTTAGGTGACCCAAATGTTGCTGCAACACCGAAGTTGCTTGTTGCTGCTGCTGCTGCGGTTGTTGCAATTGCAACTGTGGCAGCGCTGCACTGGAGTATTGAGGTGCTAGCGCCGATGATGGTGGTTGTTGTTGTGCCTGCGCTGGTGGCTGCGAATCACCGTTAGAGTAGGCAGATAACCCGCGCAATGCCACTGGTGGCGTCGATATCAACTGTTGCAGGCGGCTGCAATTGTTGTTGTTGGAATTACTACTACTACTGCTGCTGCTGCTGGCCAATTGACGACGTATGATACTGCCAGCACTCACTTGGGAGTTGTTATTATTATTGTTATTGCTGCTGCTACAGCCACTACCACTACCACTACTACTACTTCTGTTATTTCTGCTGCTGCTGGTATTATTACCGCTAGTTGCAGCTATTGCTGCTGCTAAGATCTGCGATGTGGCAGCTTCTACTTTAGCCGTTGTTGTAGGCGAGGTTGCCGGACTTGCTACTGTTAGTATGCGGGCGCTGGTGTTGTTGTTCGCGGTTGCGTCTGTTACACTTGCACCAATAAACTCGGCACCACTACTATCACTTATACAATAACAATTGGCATTTTGTTCTTGTGATTGTTGTTGCTGTTGTTGTTGTTGTTGTTGTTCAAGCGGTTGTTGCTCTCTGCTTTGCGGTATGTTGTTGTTGTTGTTGTTGTTCTCTTGCGCTTCAATTAGTGGCACTTCAATTGGAATTAGGTCCTCTATGACCATCGCCTGTTCTGGCGGGTCGTTGACAATGTCCAGTCCTTCACTTGCTACACTATCTAAATCATCAATTTGTAGATTTCGCTTTTTCTTAATTTTCACAAATGGATCAAACATTTTATAGTCGTCGTTAGCGACAATTTTGTTTAAGTTAAATTAACACTTTTTTATTTTTCGGTTTATGCAACTAATTATTTTGAATTTTCTTCTTTTTTTAATTATTTTTAGTTTAATATTGTATTTGTTTGTTTTTTTTTTTTGTTAGCGAGTATTGTTTGGAATAAAACAATATTATAATAAGAACTTTTTATTTATACACTATAAACACCCATCATTTTGGAATTTAAAATATTATTTTTTTAAGCACTTTCGTAATATTTTTATTGCTTTCACTGCACTTTTTAGTTTAGTTTGTACTGTATGTATGTAACATAGGATTTATTTTAGAAAATCTTTTAAAGTAAGGTATATTTGCGTAATCTATATATTACATATATTTTTTGTAACCGCTGCTCAGTTATTTATTCACGGTTTAATATAATTTTTTCACTTTCATAAAATGTGCAAAATATGTATCAATCAATGTACACACACAATTTTTTACATCACTCAATTTTTATACGTATATATTTTAAAACGCGTAAAAAATAATTTTTGTTTTTAATACATTCATTTATTATATAACTATTGGAATTAGAAATTTAACTAACTTTTTTTCAATTACTTTTTATTTATTTTTGACTACAGCAAAACTTTTTCTTTTTTGTTTATGTAGCTTGTTTAATTTGTTGTATTGAAATATCTATTTTACTAAACACTGTGTTCTCAGTGTGTGTATGTGCATCAAGTAGTTGCAAATTTAAACACTTTTTGCATTTCACAACTAGAAATATCTTATAAAATTTGTACCTTTCACATAACATATGTATGTATGTATGCTTTTCTGCTTCAAAATTATGATTTCTCTTCTTTTACTTTTTTAAAAACCACGAAAGCGGACCGTCAGTTTATTTTATACGCGGTATTTCGAAGATAAAGTTTTTGATTAAATTTTTTTATTTACACTTTTGCACAGATTATTCCAACATTTTTTTTTTACGTATTTTTTTCCGTTAGCCGAAAAAAATCTACACCCAATTTGTAAATTTTCGCAACTTTTCCACTTTTTCTCTTCTTGGGCTAGTGGCTGTTGGTGCTGCTCTTGTTGAGCTCGCACGCTGCTTTTTGAGGCTGTTAGGTCACTACTACGAATTTGTATGTGTATACTCTATTAGATATACTCATGTGCCGTTGTTGGTTTGTACTCCTACTGCTGCTGCTACTGCTGTGGTATTTTCTATTTCGTGTGTAGTACGAACTTTGCAAATGTGTATAGATACAAATATTAAATACATACACCGGATAGATATATTTTCTAATTTGTGAGGGCGCATGAGGTGTTTAAATGATTGTGGCTACTTCTTTTTTTTTTTTGGTTTATTTAATGTTCGCACTACACTGTGGTGATACGTATTTAATGTTGTAATATTAGGCAGGTTAATAGAAGAGGTTGCACAAAATTAGAAAAAAATGTTTATCTATCCATGCCGTTTTCAGTTTCTACCAACCGCGCTAAAAAAAAACGCTTCGCTTGTAAGTTACCGTACGACTGAACTGAACTGTCTATTGAAAACGTACGGAAAAATGCTGTGAAACAACAGAAGCAATTGTGGCAGTGAGCAAATGCAGCAGCAGCAGCAACAACAGAAGCAGCTGGTTTGGTGGCCAACTGAAAGCCGACATCACTGTCGACATCGACATGCGCAACAACACAACAGTGACGCCGAGCATTGAGCAAGTCATTAAATCAAGCAACGTTAAATAAAATAAATGCACACAGATACTCGTACATGTATATGTATATGTGCATTTATACGTGTACCTTGTAGATACATATACAAGTATGCGGTGAATGGGGCGAACGAACCAACGAATGAGTGAACGAACGAATAAACCAACAAACTAATAGCGAACAACAGATGAGGTCGCGACGACGTCAACAGAGCGGCGTGCGACGGGGTAGGCGGCATACGTCAGTCGCTCAATAAAATTAACACAAGAAAAAAAGTATTCAATATAATAACAGAAATTTGAGCAGTCAACGTCGACGTCGCTATACAACAGAGCCAGAGCTGATGCTGTTATTCGCGCTATAAACACTACATATTACTAAGCGATATAACATAAAATGTTGCTGTTACTGTTATTGTGGTTATTGAGCTGCTACTACTTACAGACTCTCATCTAATTTGTTGTGGTTGTTGCTATTATGTTTGCCCTGTTCTGCTTTTAAGCGCGTGGGGAGTTTCTGTATTACACCGCCCCTCCCACCCGTATTGTATTTGTTGTTTTACTTAATATATTACCTCGAGTGTGCTGCCCTCATGTTAGCCTGGCCGAATGAAAATGAGCACATGAGCTGTCACATTACAGTGACAATAAGAGCAGCAAAAACAATAAAAACAACATACACACAAAAATTAACAGATGTAGCGCAGCGCTAGCTACTCAACCAAATAAATGCCAATTCCAAAGGCAACTGTGCAGCAGCAGTAGCACTGTAGAGTAAATTGAGTACACAACCCACCCGTTTTGTACATTGGCGCTCGCATCGAAGGTGGTTGTGAAGGCAAGACGAGGTGTTGGATACCGCTGTTGGCTTTGCTTTTTGTTTGGCAGCGAGAGCAACTGAGTGAGTGTTATATCTACATGTGCATAAATACATACAAATGTATGAGCAAGTTTGTGAGCCAAAAGCAAATTTAATTTAATATTTTTTTTTGGGTTTTCTTTCGTTCAAGTGTGTTTGCATATTTTAATATGAAACAATGATTCGACAGTCACACGATTGAGAGTAGAACGGAGCAGAGCAATTTGATTGTGGCGAAATGCCAACTAAATAACATTAAATAATTACTTGTCGAAAATATGTTAAATAAATAATGTAAAATGAAATAAAAATAATCAAAACCAGACAAAAAGTATGACGAGATAAAATAAATTATCTAATACATATGTACATATATATAATTAGCGCATTGTAACCGCAGAGCCGATAGATTAAATTATTTTGAATAAATTACAATAAAGTAAATAAAAAAATTAAATAAAACAAACAAAATTAATATAAAATAAACTAAAGTTAAATCAAATGAAATGAAATCAACTCAAATCAAATGAAATGAAATGAAATCAAAACAAAACAAATCAAATCAAATCAAATCAAATCAAATCAAATCAAATCAAATCAAAACAAAACAAAACAAAACAAAACAAATCAAATCAAATCAAATCAAATCAAATCAAATCAAATCAAATCAAATCAAATCAAATCAAATCAAATCAAATCAAATCAAATCAAATCAAAAATCAAATCAAATCAAATCAAATCAAATCAAATCAAATCAAATCAAATCAACAAATCAAATCAAATCAAATCAAATCAAATTAAACTAAAATAAATACTAAATAACTAAGTTAAAATAAAATAAATTAATTTAAATTAAACTATATTAAATTAAAATAAAACAAAAGAAAAAATTAAATAAGCAAATTGGAATAAGACAAATTGAAATAAAAGAATATAAAATGAAAAAAAGCTAAATTAAATTATATAAAATAAAGTAAAGTAAAATAGAATGAAAAAAAAAAATTTAATTGTAGTAAATAAAAAAATTAAATTAAATAACATTATATAGGTAAAATAAAATAAACTAAAACAAAGTGATAGACAACGAAATAAAGTAAAATAGCGTAAAAAATGTAATAACAAAAGACATGAAATAAAGTAGAATAGCATAAAATCATAAAATTAAATAAAAAAAAAAATTAAGTGCAAAATATAATTAAACAAAATGGCGTATTATGAAATAGTTTAAAATCAAATAAAACAGTAAAATAAGGAAAATATAAATAAATAAATATAAAATAAAATAATATTAATATAAATGGATTAAATAATAAAAATCAATATGTTTTAATTAAAAAAAAAAAATAAAATAAATAAAAAAATAATTGATATAGAGATTAAAAGAAAAAAAAAAAAATTTTATATAGCTCACATACGCACGTTTAAAAGTTTATTTAACACCTTATAGAATCGAAATGTATAGGACAACAACATACCTGAAAATATAAAGAGATGAATTTAATTAGAACTCAAGTCTTGAATTAATAAAATAATATGAATTGTATGAGAGGAAATAATCAGAGCCACAGATATTACTTTTTATTACATATTTATTTTACTTCTTTGGGCATTTGAAATTTCAAATTATTTTTTTTTTGTCTGGAGAACCACCCAATATTACTCAATTTCTTATGCCGCTGCGAGGTAGGGGCTCAAGGGCGTTACCAGCAGTTGAAATTTTCCGGATTTTGATTCAACCAGTGTTACGTAGACAATACTAGCTCCATAATGTTACCAGATACACTGCTACATAGGACCGAGCTGTGCTGCTAGACTATTTATTGTGTCTCTAGTTTCAAAAGAACATTGCTCTTCTCTATACAAGTAACAAGCAGCCGTTTTGGACCTTGGCCCATTGCTGGTTGAAGGTCCTGCAGCTTTTCTAACCCAAGTAAGCATAGCCTTTGTCTAATTAATGCTCAACACTCACAGATTATGTGCTCCACTGGGTCTCTCCATCCATTCCCTACATTTCCTCAACTTCTTGTTCTCTACCAGACTTAGATTGAAAGTGTGCCAAGCGTAAAAGCAATGCCACTTTGAAAGGAGTTCAGAGTCCTATCTCTCTTGCAAATAGTTTTCACGATTTTGCAGACCTCTATTAGACGAAGAGCCTGTTCGCTTGACGCAACAATATTACTTTCTGTACAAGGAGCACTTGCCTGAATGCAACTGGTGAATCCATAATTACGGCCCCTTTAGCGAGTCCATCAGCTATCTCGGACCTTTCAACTTGCTTTTAATCGCCTCTTTGCATAATGCAAGCAGCGGCCGCTAATTTGATGTTGTTTCTCTTTTTATCGCCGCTTGGCTACCTACATAAATGTGTATTCTCTTCCTATGAAGGTCTGTTCCCTGCAGTACTTCTACAGACATTCTTATAGATAAT